TCCGCCTTCGCCCTCATCATCATCTGGGATGTGGTCGAAGTCGATGTTATAGTCCTTGACAATGGGAGCCAAGAGCGCCAAATCGAGCTCCGGTTCCTTATAGAGGACACGACAGCGTCCCTCTCCTTCATCGCCTTCTTTGCACCGGACGTCCACAATGTCTGCGTTACCCACGGCTCGAGCGGTCGTCAGAATACATCCCTTGAATTTGGGGTAACCGTTGTCTGCGAGTATGAAACCAGAGCTCGTCGTGTGAAGACAATACACCCGAGAGTTGTAGTTTGATTGAACCAATTGGCGCACAGACACCACTGATCCACACGACTCCGCATAGATTTGCTCCACAGTCTTGTCCAACAAATAGGCGTATCGGAGACCCAACGGCGCTCTCAACGGCATGTTTGGCCACAAATCCTGAGATTGTCTTCTATTGTGTTGCAGATAATAGTTGGAGCCATAGATGGAAAGGGAGACCAATAGTGGTGTTCTGTTCACAGATTTAAAGATATTATAATTGGTTTGAATTTAAATGAAATGCAATTATAAGGCAATAGATGATTACGATATGAATGAGTGGTTAACTGACCGGAGATTGCCTTTCGTGAGCAATGCTCTGAAGAAATACATGTTTTCCAACTCTTATTGAAACCAAAAGCAGATATTAAACTACAATTCAATGGTTTTGTAAAACAAATCAATGACTTCAGTGACAAAAGCTAACGATTTTTGCCATAATTTCGACAACAGTTTTGTATTCAATGCTTACTGTATTTCAAATGACAATCAATTCAAAAGTCACGAGAAAATCAAATGAAAGAGTCTTTCAGAAAGACTCACAAATCTATTGATTTTTTATGTAACCGTAATGTAATGTATTAAAAGTTAGACCAAGACAGTAAAATAACAATAATTTATTTTCTTACAGTTTACTCAAATGAATTTATTTACATATAAATTCCTTGTTTAATTTAAATAAATTGTAAAAATATTTAATAAATTTATTTTAGCATGCATTTAATTTTATATATTAAATTTAATAAATTTTAAAAAATAAATTTAAGTAATTAACATGTTATAAAAATCTCAAAGATCTAATTAATTGAATTAATGTCTGAAAAATAGTTTGAACTTAGTAATTACTAATTACTGTAATTGATTTATTATTTAGCATAAAATTGATTTGACATTATAGATTAAAATAACAGACTATAAATCTCTACTTTAATATAAAATAAGAAAAGTTGAAAATAAAT